TTTTTTTTTTTTCTTGTAAAACATTTTTAAAACGGCTTCAGATACCTGTTTTTGACACACACACACTGTTCGGAAATTATTTAGCATTGTATTATTAGGCTATAACTATCGTTAATAATATAACAACATAAATAAATATGACTTTTTTTATTTAAACATACATGAGTATTTAACTCAATTATGTAATAACAACCCATAACTCAAATAATAAAATAGTTCCGTGTTGGTTATCGAATAAACTGAACATCAAAAGAGTCAGAGACCCTCACGACTTTAAAATGATTATTCTAATTGGCATCCTCCAGTACTTGATCAGGTCACAATACAATGCATATTCTGCTTGAATTAATTATCAGCTGTTCAAAGTGAAGCATTCAGTAATACCTATTGCCCGCTGGGTGTTTGTGTAGGATCTCTTACAATCCTCAACGATGCCCCATCGTCTTAGATGAACTAATTAGCAACGAGCCTAATTTGCATAGCACAGATGAAGTTCAACATCAAAACAAATAGAAGAATAAATTATTTCATCGTTCTGTTTTTGTGACTACCCCTTACATTACACAAATCTTTACACAATAAAACTATAATATAAGATATTATTCCTAAGAGCTTGATACCATTCAGATTTGGAAATGGATTTAGTAATCGAAAAGGTATTTTGCTCGCTTACATTTTACATAACTGTAATATAGACCTAGCATACATTTTTGGCCGTATATAGGATACTTATTTTTTTAATTAAAAAAAACCAATTTTTTTTTAAAGAACTGCTATAAATTAAACCGATATTTTATGCCGGCAAATTAATGAATGACACCACTTATGAACCGCTTATAAATTAGCTATTGCTTTAAATGACAATTTCAACCAACTTGTACTTGTCTTTTAGGGAAAATATATAGGCTATTTTGTTTGTCCGAAAAAAAAAAAATCCACTGAAGCAATTAAAAATGTTCCGTCCCTTTGAGAAAATGTAGTCAGATTTGTAAGACTCGCATTTTCCTTTCGAAATCAAGGACATCAAAACTAAGTAAGGTGGAAAGTGAAGCGCAGCACCCCTATCGAGCAGATGTGTTTGCTCAAGCTGGAATCCAATCAGAGGCTCGGAGCACAGGAGGCACCTCCTCTCTTAAACATCGTCACGAGTGAACAGAGAACTTTCATTCCTAATAGTTCTCCAAGTCCTGCAACCACATAACCGCTGGATCCTGCGAACACCAACTTATGGCAAACCACCAATAGGTCAGTGGCGACTTTTTTTTTCTTTTCACATATTCTTGTCTTGATTATAAATGTCTTCTCCAGCTTTTGTCAAACCTCTGGTCTTGGTGCTGTTTTCGATGCCAGCTGAGGAGAGCTTAAATAATTTCGGGTCTTTTTTTTCTTTACCCTGCCTCTCTCTCTCTCTCTCTCTTATCTTTTGTGGGTCTTATCAAGTGGTTATCTCTTTTCTGCAAAGACATATTACGTTTTGTTTCCTATCTGTTACGTTGTGTGTGTGTGTTTCTTTTTTTTTCTTTTTGGTAATTATGATGAGGCTACATCAAGAGGGAGGACTCATGACACGGATGGATTCAGATCTTCAGTGTAAAGCCCTGTATGGGTGTGTATGTGCGTGCGCATGTGTTTATGGGAATAGTGAAGTTGTGTGCATTGCACGTCATGCAGCTTAACTTTTAAATTTAGAACATTACAAGAAGGCAAAAGAATTATGAATGATTTGAGAAAGTTTGTACCATTACGCGCGTTCTGAAGTGAAACTGTTCCTCCGCGTCAAAAGAAAAATTGAACATATTTCATTGAATATGATTAAAACCCAGTAAGGATTCGGAGAAACTTTAACAGTTGGTTATTTGCTTAATGATTTGAGATCCTCTTTGACATTTATTGTCTAAAAGTAAAATATGTTCGTTCTCTCGTTTCTTTCTTTTTTTTCTAATTTAGTATTCTCTATAGCCCAACGTTTCTCAAATTATTATGTTCTCTTTTTCAGTGCACTCTGCCTCTGTATTTTCCACACACTGTGAGATATAAAAGGGATCCTGGATGGACCTGGGTGATAACAGCTGGTCCATGGTCAAGCGCGAAGTGTCCAGCAGCAGCCCAGGGTCTCCGGCTGAGCAGAGCTACCTGAACACTGACCGGAGGGACCAGCTAAGATCACCGGCGCCGACGCACCTGGACGCGGTGGGAACCCGTCGCGCCGAGGGCAGGCCCCTACACTCCTACGTCCACTTTGGCCATCCCAACAACGCCCTGCCCAATTCTGACGACGTTACACTCTTCACGGATTTAGACCAGGGCAACAAACTCATCATCTCAGGTGGGCACACCAGGGAGACGCATAAGGGAGGCTTAATTGTGGACTCTACCGACATGTATCAGACCCTGGCCATCGCCGCGGCCCAGAGTCAGGCCGGTTATAACGACACGCCACCGGCCGGTTACATGCACTCCAACCCTAATTCTCCGGTTTATGTGCCGATGTCTCGCGTTGGAACGATGATACCGAGTTTGTCGTACCTACAACCCAGCGTGTCATCGCAGCCGAGCCATGCTGTCAGCAGTCATTCGGTCTGGTCACAGTCCGCACCAGAGAGCCCGTCCTACAGCACTGGAAGCCCACATACCTCCAGCCGTTTCCACTACTCCCCAAGTCCGCCTATGAATAACGGCACATCGAGGGATACCAGCTATACTAACCCTCTGAATGTAAACAGTCGAGACCAATACCTGTCACGACCAATAAGTGGATCTTACACAAGCCCGTATTCTCCGTATGCACCGCAGCTATCACAGTTACCGGCGGCGTGGCCAGCGGGGCCCTTCGAGAACTCCATGCTGCATTCCCTGCAGTCCAGAAGCGCACCACTGTCTATCAGGGGACCAAACGGAGGTAAGCTGTAGCTATTCATCATATCAAAAGTCTTTTTTGACTGTGGACTTCAAAACCCACGTTTCCCTCACATTTTAAGCAGCGTGTGAATAGGCTAATTCAATTATTATTATTATTATTATTATTATTATATTAATAATAAATGTTTATTTATTTGTTTATTTGTTTGTCAAACGGCTGTTAAATGATTAAATATTAAGGCACAGGTAATTTTCGGGGTGCAGTCGTTGGCGCCAGTCTCACACACAGATCAATGTCAAAAATATAAAAGTTGCAACTGATTTGAAGTCTTCTTTTACACTAACACCAAATAATAGGCCCTGCTTCTATCATATGTATATATATATATATATATATATATATACTGTATATAGGCTAATGTACCGCCAAAAACAGTTATGCTTACCTTCCTCTGTAAACTTTAGCATGTTTGGCGACAGGTGAAAATACGAGATATCGGACTTTTTTATTATTATTTTATATATATATATATATATATAACTTGTGGCCTATCATTATAGAAACACCAGGTGGAACCTTTTATTGGCTACGTATGTGTAAATGGAGTAACTTTGTATTAAGAACCAAAAATATATTAGGCCGTAGGCTATGCATAACAGTTTTTTTAAGAAATAAAAAGGAATGGATGAATTGACCAATTCTATCGTTTCGAATCAAAGTTCAAATCATAAAGAATTATTACAACAACAGTGACAGTGATAACGCCATTTACAATAATTTTAACAAATTGTCTGAGGCTATCAACGAAGTTCTGTTGCAGCCCATGGTGTTTTAGTAGCTAATGTTTCTAATAAAGCTTTACATTAGTGTCCGTGTTACAGGTGTACATGTAAATATAACTCATTGCGATTAAAATAAAGTGTTTAGGTAATTACAAGCTGCTCCGAAAAACAGTACACAGTAACAAAGTGGATATTTCAGTGTAAATTGAATTATTTGAGAGAAAAGAGTTGCCGAGAAAACCAATATTCACATCTGTCATTAATGCTATTAGTCTGTTACAATGTGTCATGTCTGCGCAATTCATTTGGCACACATTGCAGTTGATGGTGAATGTGATGTTGACTGACGGGGAACTGTCTGTGTCTCAGATTTGCTGGAGGACATGATGGAGGGCCGCGAGTGCGTCAACTGCGGCTCCATTTCCACCCCGCTGTGGAGACGCGACGGCACGGGTCACTTTCTCTGTAACGCCTGCGGTCTGTACAGCAAAATGAATGGACTCAGCCGACCATTAATTAAACCTCAGAAGCGAATGGTGAGCACCGACTTGATGAGCTACTTAACCACTCAATTTCCTGCCGATTTATTTCAAACAATAGCCAGAGGTTATCTGGAAACATCTTCACAGGTCTACTCCCATAATAAACGCTATTTTTATTGGCGAGACAACTTTGCATGCATTGAACATTAATTGATTAGGCCACAAAAAGAGTGCGCATGCAGATATATATATATATATATATGTAATGTTATAATATATAATAATAATATATATAATATATTATGTTTATATGAATATAAACAAACAAAAGGTCTAATATTTAGAAACATAAATTTAATCTGCCAGACATCTATTTAATTATACCACTTTGGATCAATGACCGTGAGAGACTTAATCTTTATTAGTATCAATTAATGACATTGTTAATTGCTTCTCCAGTCGTCTTCAAGGCGGATCGGCCTGTCATGCGCGAACTGCCAGACGAGCACTACAACACTGTGGCGCAGAAACGCAGACGGAGAGCCCGTGTGCAACGCGTGTGGACTTTACACAAAGTTACACGGGGTATGCTATATTGAATATTGCGTGAAAACAAGATTTGACACAATGGAAACAATTACAAACGGATACATTTAAAATAAACGGGGGAAAGCTACATGTGTCATTACAGTATTTTAAAAACTGATTAAAGTTTTTTTTTTTTTTTTTTTTTTAGGGGCCTAGGCCCCTTGCCATGAAAAAAGAAGGTATTCAGACAAGGAAAAGACAACCAAAAACCTTGAACAAAACAAAGGGATCATCTGGTATGTTAAACAGTAATAATACAAAACTCAATCAGACAAGTTCAAATCTTTCATTTATAATTCCACTGAGGTTAAGTGCAGGTCAACTAACTGGTTAAAATTATTCACAGGAAGTAGTTCTGTCCCAATGACTCCAACGTCTTCATCGTCTTCTAATTCAGAGGAGTGCACAAAGAACAGTCCTTCATCAACACAGGTGCCTGTAACATCAGTAAGTTGATACCCTTGTTTTTTGCTGCATTTGCGTAGCATTCAAACGAGTCAACAATGTGCCAAACCTTACAGCTAAAACGTTGCTGGTGTTTGAAAATGATTCTTCTGTATGACTCATAAAACCACAAATCGACCATTTCATTGCAACAACTGGTTTGCATTTTATTTGTCATACTGACATTCTCTGGTTTGATCCAGGTCAACTCTTCCACGCTGGTGGGCCAAGTTGATGTTCCAGGCACGACCAGCTCCATGGTGAAGTACCCCGGCCAGGAGAGCCTGTACACGAATGTAGGCCTGACGTCCACAGCTGACGTGGCAACCTCCGTGAGAGGGGACACTTGGTGCCCAATGGCCTTGGCCTAAACCCTGGCATTATGGGATGGGAGCCATTTGCTGTCCTTCAGCTCTCTTGAACGCCCCTTTGGCGTTGTTCTTCAAATCTGGCAGGGTGTGGGGTGTCATCTGTTTTTGGTCTGTGTTAGTGATCTTGAGCAGAGGCTTGATCTGTTCCAAATACTCCAGTTTTGGTTTCACCCGTGGAATACTGGACATCCATGATGGAGATAATCTTTGCTACTCCGCACTAGAGGACGACACTTGAGAGCGTCTGCTTTAACATGCCTTTGGTACTTTAAGAGCACACCCTGCACCGTGAATGTTGCTCGGAAGAGTAAGTGGATCAAAAATGATTTCTTGAAAGTAGTATTGTACATATTAATGCTAACGGATACTTCGCCCATCTGGAAAGACGAGGTTGTTGATTGGATTCTGGTGATCTGAAGAGAAAACGTTTGAGCTTTCTGAAACTGGAATTGAAGATAAAGTGTCAAGGTGTTCTTTTGATGAATGCAAACATATTTATGAAGCTACAGTTGTTCAAATAATGCATATATTTGTCAATAAAGAGAATGTCAAATAGAGTAGGACTGAAGCCTTGGCCTTCCTTTGAAATCTTTTGTTTCAAGCATGATGTTGTTGCAGTGGATGTTGCGCACTAATATGCACACATGTGAAATAATAAAAAAAAAGAAAAGAAAAAAAAAAGCAGCTCTTAGAAGACTGAACTGTTTTGTGATGGTTTAACAGGGTATCAAATATCACGGGAACTAACACGAGACTTGTCGTGTTTTGTTCGATTACACACGTTCCTAGAGATCACTATCAAATGAAAATGGTCTAATCAAAATTCCTAGTGAAGAAAATAGTTCTTTTTTAGAATCCACGTGGAGAAATTGGAATGCCGTAAATCATCAGCAAAGCATAAATAAAAGGACCTCTCTGTTAGAACAAACGGCGCTCAGGATTTCTTTTCTGATGCATTTTTGTTACAATACAAAACTGCTAAAAAGTTTTGCTGCAATGATTTTGGATGTAAGACTTCCTAACATGTGACACTGATGTGTTAATGTCAGTGCATATTGCTGTTTATTTTTATTTTTTACTTTCAGTGTGATACACTTCTGTGGTCACCACTATAGCTGATGGAGGGACAATGTTTAATCTGGATCTTGCTTTCACAAATTGTTGAATGTTTTTAGAGAGAGCAATGTGTGCCAGAATCAATCAGATGTGAACGTTTCTTGTGAGTTACCGTCTAAACCACAAACATAATGCACAATGACAGTAATTAATGAGCTATCTGAAGAGTTTAATTCTCTCATGAAAGAGTCGGTCTCAAGTGGTTTTGGTGTCCATGATTTATTGCCTCTGATCTGTTAAACAGTTACCCAACTACAAGTTCCACATGTAAACATCTTAGGGCTTTGAAATGGGGGATTAAAGGAGCACCAGAAGAGCCTTCTTCAAATGATTACTCCTTAAAGCAGCAGAGTAATTCCATGACAGTGACATTTTTGGACAAGCTTTTTGTGTCATAGAGATGATGTGTGAACAACACAAGAAACATTTTGCTATCATTGTGATTCTCAGCCTTTATAACCTCTAGAATTATTTATTTCTGCAATGTAGTGTGTTTGTTAGAGGTATTTGTTTGTTTGTTTTTAATTTGAATTAACGTATTTGTATTTTATGGTTGTTAATAATTTCAGTTCAAAATGATTACAATATTATTTTCAACAGACAATGTCAGACTTATTTGTTATGGTTTTGTCTTGAAATTATTCAAATTATATGTTGAATTGCAAGGTGTGTTTTTCTTCTCTTTTAGTAGATTTTAACATTTATTATGGAAGTTTCTTCATACTCTTCACATGAACCACTGGAACCACATAATTTGAGTGGTTAAGTAAATACTCTTTTATTGTCATCACCAGTCATAACCAGAAGCATTTTTTTTGGGGTAAAAATGTTCTTTAACCGTTGACTCTCCCTACTGTTTTCCAGTGTTTAGAGTAGTAAGGATGTCATTGTTAGCTTTTTTTTTCTTTCTCAGATTAGTTTATCATCACTGGAACAATAAATAAGAGCCATGACTAAAGTGGTTGTTTTTCCCATCCCTTATTTTTGTTGTAAAGGTATTCAAATTGCTTTAATTTAATCAAGTATCAATCAATATTGTTAAACAACAAAGCCAATTTTTGCATTGATTTTCTATAGTCATGTTTTACCACTCATTGGCCAGTTGTTTGCTCATGGATCACAGATCATTTTGTTTGTTGGTACACTGAAGCTAATTAAAAACTTGAAATTTGTATTTCAACAATAGTAACTTTTCACATATCTTTTTTTATGTTTCTTTTGTTATAATCACATTATAATACAACAGAATATCATAATATTGACTTAAAATGGCCAGATCTGAATTTGGGTCAATAATGAACATTATCAATGTTCAAATGAAATATTGTGTGACATGTTTCTAGTGCATCTGAAGACCGCTTAAGCCTGAGCCCTTATTGGTTTATGTCAACTCTTGACATTTGAATGTGCTGATCTTCGCTTCAAAGTTGCACTTTGATTTACGACTTATTGATGACGTCTCGGCTCCAATAGTTTGCAGATCTCTGATGTAATTTCTTGTGCTGTTTGTGATTCTGTTGAATCAAACCAATAGACACTGCATGCTTTGACGCATTGATACACCATGTTCACAACACCTCTTTTGCTCGAGATCACTGAAAGGAATATATTCGGAAAGAACAGAGACCCAGAACCAATTGCTGTATTGTTTCTTTGTCATCAATGTAGTGCATCCAGTATAAAAGTTCATCCCATTTGTTTCAAATCTTTCTTTACATTGTTTCAAATTCTGTTAACTTGCTGTCTTAAATTGTAAATCCCTTTGTTTGTTTTGCAGTTGCAACACCATAACACCAGCACAGACTAGTATTTCCACAGTTGCTCCCTGCTGCCCTTTTGAACTACATTTGCCCTCTTCGCTTCAGAGAGAAGTACCAGCCACAACATAAAGCTTAATAACTCAGAAACACACTCCATTAATAACAGCTTTGGCACAGCCCAACAGAATTCACTTAGACTGCACTAACGTCACATTACATTCCAGCTCCCTTCTCCTGTCACCTACCGCTCTAGCTTTGATTAAGATTTATTTTTATGCATTCTGGTTATCTGCCCAGGGTGTATGACATATTGCTATGAGGTTTATTGGGGGCTGGGATCTGTGAAGGATTTCAGCAAATTCTTCTCTTTGTGACTGAGGGCTGGGAGTGGCAATCTGTGGCAAGACGCAAGAGCGGTTCTAGTGGTACAAGTTGGTATTGCATATCCGACTGCTTCTTTCAATTTGCAGGATACATAATACCAGAACAACACACTGCAAAACAAATCATATTCTTAATGAGTGCTTTGTCTCAATATATATATGAGTATATCAGTATCTCAATTTTTGTCCATTTTTATCTCAAGTGTCCATATCTACACATTTTGTGAAGAAGCAACTCTGCTTAAGACCTGTTTTCAGAGACATCTCCAACAAAGCTATATTTTGTCTTACTGCACTGTCAGATCTTTATTCACTTGTTTTAAGTATAAACAAGTGAAGACGACTGGCAGTGCAGATTGACAAAATAAGCAAGATGCAAAAATGCATAAAAATATCATACGATTAAAAAATATTGTTATGTTGTGATAAGATCAAGAGAATTATGTTATTCTATTTTTTTAATAATTAGAGAAATAATCTGGGGATTGTCCTGATATGGTATTTGTGTATTGTTAAAAATGGGAATATGGTGCACTGTAAAAAAAAAAATTATAAGGATTTTAGCTCTTTATAAAAATCCTACACTTAAAAAAAATGATGTATGATTTCCTTTGAAGCAATTTTCATTTAGAAATTGGTAGTAAATTTTTACAAATAATTGCAAAGTTACACATTGAATTAAAGATCCATTTTTTTTTTTACAATGTACAGTAAAAATGTAAATTTTTGAACCGTAAATTTGTATTTGTCAGTTATGCACATTGGGGTTTTATATTACATCTTGTTGTTAAATTCATGTTTTAATGCATTATATTAGTGTCATGATGGGGTTTTGTATTTATGTGTATGACACTGTGTATCTTCTATATATTAGTTTTACCCTCAGTTTATGGATTCCTCGTGTTGCTTTTTCACTGCCACCTGTGCTTTTAATGTGATTGTCAATATATTCTAAAGGTAATAATGGATTTGAGTAATTTGATATATTAAAATTTTTTATTACTGTAAATCTCATTTCAATTTTTACAACTTAAAATGTTGCTCTCATATTTTTTACGGTAAAATTCTAACAACCACAGCTGCTGTTTTTTACTGTTAATTTCGCCTCTAATATGACAGTATTGCTTTCAATATGTCAACACCAAAGAATATTTCTGATTTCAACTCACAGCTGAGGGCAAGGTATTTACAATACTCAGATCATACACAATGCTCTGAATATTTCTTTGTCTGTAAACGTGTGTACTGGTGTGTTTAAGTTTGGGACAAGGCACTGTATTTCTGAAAATAAATACATTAGGTTTAATAAAAGACACAAATCACACAACTGAGACATACTTATTCAGAAGAATAAGGAGATTACTAAAAATAGATGGTCCACGGTCAAGCAATCAAATGTGTGTCTTCTTGGAGCTTTAAGAGACATACACAAACATGGGTTCATCCGTTTGTCTTTTGATAGATCTTGTCCCATAGAGAGCTTCAGATGTTACCTGAGAACTCAAATTTGAATTTCATTTAAAACTGCAAATGACGTTATCTGTTGCACATTAATCAATCAGTTGGCACTTTACCATGCACTACACTGCAGGTATGTGCAATATAATTCTAATACGCACATATTTCCCTTAAAATCAACATTGAGTTTTGCTTTAGTTCCAAAGCCTCTGATGTCCAGTACTGAACTCTGTATTTGGACAGTGAATAAAAGGGTCAGTGTCACCCTCTCCTCTCTGGGGTGGGGTTGAAAGTCCACCCTGTGCCAGAGTAAACATAAAGGAGGTCTCAGGACTAAGAGCTGAGAGCCTTAGGCTGTTTGAAAATGGGTAAAGAATGGTTTTCCCCTAGGGGGAGTTACCCAACGGATCTCAGTGAGGAACTGTCTGTGTCTACAGCCTCTGGAAGAGATGGGATCACTGACGCAGCCCTTTAGGATTTCTAGTAAAATTCAGCCCAATTTCCAGCCGATATTTCCCTAAACAAACAGGCTTGACATTCTAAAAAAGGAAATCCTGAGCACATTTCCTTAGGAATATGAGTACTACATTTCTATGACGTATTACGAAGGAATGATAATATAATGGAATAATGAAGACATGGCAGTTCGGTGCAGTGTTTCTTTATTCTTACCACATCACAAAATACTATCACTTTTTTTTTTTTTTATAGTGACAATAAAGAATGTAATATTTATTATAGACTACGGCACATGTATGGAATGTGCATTACATTTTAAAAAAGGAACATAATTAGGTAAAACACTACCAGTCAAAAGTTTGGAAACATTAAGATTTTTATCATTAATAACTTAATAAGTTTGAATGTTGATGAAGAATGTTTATTTGATCAAAAGCACAGTCCAAAACTGCAAAATGAAACACTTAAACGTAAAACCCGCCCCTAAACATCACATATGTTACCCTGGATCACAAAACCAGTCTTAAGTCGCTTGGGTATATTTCTAGCAATAGCCAAAAATACATTGTATGTGTAAGAATTATAGATTTTTCTTTTATGCCAAAAATCATTAGGATATTAAGTAAAGATCATGTTTAATGAAGATATTTTGTAAATTTCCTACTGTAAATATATCAAAACATACATTTTGATTAGTAATATACATTGCTAAGAACTTCATTTGGTCAAATTTAAAGGCGATTTTCTCTGTATTTTGATTTTTTTGCACCCTCAGACTCAAGATTTTCAAATAGTTGTATCTCGGCCAAATATTGTCCTATCCTATACCATACATCAATGAAAAGCTTATTTATTCAGCTTTCAGATGATGTATAAATCTCAATTTTTAAAAATTGACCCTTATGACTGGTTTTGTGGTCCAGGGTCACATATAAAGAAGTAAAGTAAGATTGGTGGTTTAGCAGCTAGATATGACCTTAGCACCTGGTGGCAGATGCTGTAACTACATGATTATGCTGGCAAAAAAAAAAAACAGTTTTCTCATTGACAGTCATAAGGCAAGGCAAGGCAAGTTTATTTGTATAGCACATTTCATACACAATGGTAATTCAAAGTGCTTTACATAAAAGAAAAGAAAAAAAAAAAATAATCACAACAATAAAACAAGGAATTTAAAAACATTGAAAATGATTAAAACAATTGATTTAAGATAATCAATTAAAAATAACCAAGCAACCATGTAATATTGAAAATGCAAGCAACATATAATTCACAAGTATTTATTTCTTTGAATTGTAATCATTTTTGATGCATGATCAGTCGCATGGCATGTTTCCAGAACTGTTTGCCCATGAAGTAAAGATGGAGGCCTTCACATACAGTACTTTTGAGGGGTCCCTGAGCCAGCCGAGCAA